TATATTGGGAATACTATTTTCTTGATATACAAGTACAAAGCGAGATCATCAAAACAAAAAAACGGGTAAATTATATAGTTTAAGTACGAAAGAGAGCGGGAGATGGTAAGCTTAATGACTTGAGATATTCGCGTGTTAACAAATTGTTAATTTTGATTCATATAATGTTCATAAACGTTGTAATTACGTAAAATTATGTATACGTAGTATTTTCAGTAGCACATTATTTAAATATTTTAAAACACTTTTATATTTAATTACAATAAATTTTATATTTTTATTTTCTAGATTTCTTTCGTTTACCTGAAGATTAGAGTACTTAAAGAATTACTCTACTACATTATATTATACTATAATATAATTTTTCGAGATTTATAAATATTTTGTAAAAATTAATTGTACTTAATTAGTTGGATATCTTTATATTGAAAAAAAAAAAATATATATATATTTGTATACAATGGAAAAAAACTGCTGCACTGATAGTTACGTACTTAGCCGTATTTAATGTTATTTTATGTATGATCTAAATAAATTAGTTTAAAGTGAAATATTTTATAATTTGGGAAGCTTATGTATAATTTAAACCAAAAAAGAGAAAATTGAGACTATTAAACAGCTGACGTTAATCAACGTTGTAGAAAATAGCCAATAAGATTATAGTGATATCGATATTCGAGTACTATGATAACACGTGACAATGTTCACTGACGTGCCTAGTCAGTAACAGAAGAATATATGTACCTGTGTGTGTGTAAAGTTGTTCAGATCCCACTGAAGACATTGTTACAGAAAAAACAAACATATGGCAGGTATGGATTTTATTGTTATAGATGTAAGTGTAAACACACTGTAACTTATCGTATTTATATTGACAAGCATCTTTTATATTTGCTATAGGTTTATATATACTTTGTCAGCATTTACATTTGAAATTAGATTACAAAATATAGTCTACAAATCTTAGCCATAATAATACAATAGGCTTATATTTATACTATATCGGGCTCTAGAATCATCATGAGTTAAAGATAACAAATATTTGTCACAACAGTTCGTCGTTTTAATTTCCTTCCTGCACTGTTTTGTATCCTTAACATGAGCAATATTAATCTTTAAAGAATTAATTGAAGCTAGATAACTTTAGTAATATAAAAAAAAAGGTCATGTATGTAATCACTCACATTTTCGTTTACTATACAAGGAAAATTGGAGAAAGTATATATACGTATATATATTCGTCTAATAAGGTTATTATATAATTATGTGTCAAAGGAGGCATTTCCCTCACATTAACACCCTTCACCTTCTTGGAAAATATAATCCTGTATTAATTTTCGAGAATGTTTACACACGATGTTTTAAATTTTCATATGAATATATACAAATATTTCATTATCCTACGGTATGTTCGTACTGTATAATTGTAAAGTTATCACCAAAAACAGGTATGACACTGAAAGTTATTACAGTGGATGAAAAAAGTATTTATATATATATATATATATATATGTACTTTTCTTAGGGATAACTTATACACAAACAAGAGAAAAATGTATCAATATATATTAAAATAATATATTAGTATATAGAAAGATGCGTTCAAATGCAATTTTTTTTTGTGTGTAAATTTGTCTAAAAAAGAACAAGCTGTACAGATATTTTTCACATCCACTGTATATCCCTCCGACATAGTAAAATTCTACTGGAAAGTTAAATCCTTATATTGTGGAGAAGTTGCACATTAAACGGTACTTTGAATATCTTTTGTAACGTTTTATTTTTAGCTTGTCTGATCGCTCTCGGAGTTTTGCTGCCTCTTGTACAGCGCTACATTATTCTCTGTATAATCCATTACGCGACGCTGGCATTGCCTCATGTATTGTTGTTGCTTGTGATAAATCTTGAACGCACCCTTTATCGTTAAAAACGCCGCACCGCCCTACATAGATAATAAATGAAAAAAATAATTATTAAAGACAATTATTAAATTATTAGATTGTAATAATAAGTTGATAAATGGCACAAAAATGGTGAGATATTAGGTCTTTGATGTTCAGAATCCCCAAATGATCAGTTTTATTATGTTATTCGGTCATGAAATAAGCTTCGGTTTTATCGAACGTTCTAACTTGTGAAGTAAACGTTTACCGAATCAAGTATTGTAAATTACAATGAAGTAATATTTTCGCGAAGGTACTCTTCTATTTATGCGAAATACTACGATTTCTCCTGTTATAGTGAGACGTGAAAATGTCTTTAATACGTACAAGTAGTGTTCTCTGAAAATTGGAGCTTATACTTTCAAAGAATAACTTTCCGCATATACTGGCGATAGTTGGCAACAAAAGCGCACCGCAAAGGACACGAGTCGCGGACACAGGATCGTTCATCGGTGGTATATCTTCAGATTGTATTGTGTCCTCGCTGGAATAACTACAATAATAATTATACATTTCAAATAAACACACGCAACTCTCCAGTCGAATAAGCAGAACAAGATATTGACGTACGAACCTACTCGGTAAGAAGTGCCTCAAGATAGGAACTTTACAGGCATGCCGTCTCAAAAAGCTGAGGGCCTGATCTTCCCATCTAAGCATCTTTCCTAGAACCAACATAATTGGAATAGTCGGTAAGCCGACAAGTAGAACCAAAGGATCCGCTTGTTCCATCATGGTAAGGCCGTCTTTATGACCCACCACTTGCATAACAGTTACTGCGCCATAAGTTACAGCAGTCCAATATATGGATCCGACAACAATACCAGCGGCGATAAAAGGACATACTCGAAAAATAACAGTGTCGATCGTGTCGAGTATCACCACTAGTGGACCTGCAATCAATTCACGTTATGTTATAGACGATATCTCTTACCTATATCATGTTATTTGATTTCTTAGTGCGACAGATTGAACGATTAGAGTTGACTTACATTCCTTTCTACAATTGAGAATTATTTGTATCGCTAAGCTTTTTAAAGTAATATAATAGTACATCACTCACCCATATTTGGATAAACTATAATGTATTCCGTATTACATTGTGGACAGGCCACAGCATGTTCAGCATGACCTTTTTGTTTCTCGTCGACCCATCTCTGTATACAACCTTGATGAACCCATTTCGTAGTGCCTCTACAGTGGCATGGCTTAACCCATGATGCAGTAGCATCATCCTCATCTGTTGCGAAGCATACCCAACAATATCGCTTACTGTATACACAAAAAATTATTATATATATATCATATTTTCAGTAGTTGTGACATAATCGTTACAAGTTATTATAAGAAATAAAACAGCATTTCACGTATAAAGTATAACTCTAATAGTATATCCTTAAAAAATATACAAGAATTATGTAAATTTTAAATATGAACAGTACAAGAAATCAGATGATTTATATTATTTTTGAAAGTTCTTATTTATATATTTAGTTAATTGCTATTACACAAAGAAATATCTCAGTTTGTATAAATTAAATAGGCATCAAAGTAAAATTCTCAATCAGACTACAAACCCATTTTTTGGTCTCCTTTAATATTTTATGTTTTTTAACATGCAAATTGATGGACTGTCAGAATTCACATAATGATTTGATAGCTGTAAATAAGCATAAAGCAAGATGCAACGCATCAGCCAACCAGCATTGCAAAAAAGTGGCTTCGATGTTTTGATACATTCAAGTTCAAAGTTTCATGCTTTTTTTAGAGAAGTGACTCCGTAGAACCTCTCGCCAGAAGGAGAACATTATCAAATTAATTACTTTCACGATAACATATTCTATTTGCGATTATTCAATGTTAACTTACTCTTCGTCCATGCTTAATGATCTCATGCTAGATGTGGTTTGATTTGGAGAAGACACGCCATCAGTGATGTCAACAGATAATTCACGATCTGTTATATCTTCAGATACATTCTGAGAAGTTTCCTCTTCTGATGATATCACTCTTGCTTGGAGATCAGAAGTTCCAGCTGTAAAATATATTAATGGTATTGATTAAACTATTGATATGTAGTCAGTTCAATATAACAATATATTCACTTATCTACATTTTGGCACATAGTGTAATTGTCCTCTTCAGAAGAACTAAGTAAAATTTAATTTACATTCATAAGACATATGGCATATTAAACGTTCAAATATCAACCAACATATTAAGTATTGAAGTAAAATAAAGATTGGTAAGCTTGATCTAAATCGACTTTATGCACAGTAGATTTTTTAGAATATTTTTCATGCTGTTAATTACCATTAGAATCATTGACTTGTCTATCGACTCTCAGGTTTGTGCTGAATCTTCTTAGAGCTTCTTCTATACTTGGAAGACGTCTGATGTTCGCCCTAGTTATACCAGACTCAATACGGACTATTCTTCCACGGCTATCAAGCCCATATGAAATATGTGGCAAGTTATCTTCTGACATTGTCTCAGCAAAACAAAGCACTCACAAGTTCGCCACCATCTTGAAAATACAATATTGTTAAAAGTACACGTTATAAGCTACCAATATTATTGATACATTATTACTTAATATTAATATATCATTGAGACTACATGTGTGTTATTATAACTGTAAGTTGCACCAAATAATTTTAAGTCACATCGCGGACTCGACCGAGTTTTTTTCTATCAGTTTTAACATTTAAATATGCAGAGGTTAAAGCGCAATTGAGATGAACAAATTATGTAAATATGTAAATTTTTGCACACGTGTTAATATATAGTATTAATATAATTTTACTTGCAGATTATTTCGCTAAAATGTGTGTTTGTTATCACTGAGACTCTCGTCGATATTCTGCGAAAGGCCAACGATAGTTACGCGACAAATACGATTTTCATCAGACTTTTAACCTTGATAACAAAAACGCTAATTCGCGATATGTCGAGCGACGTATGTAACATACGTCAGCGTGGCGGCGAATCAAATTGCGTGCGTTTGAGCGATTCGCTCGCGATCTAAAAGATACGAATGTGATAGAGCGCACGGACTGAAATGCACTCACTTGTTATTCGCGTTACGGCATTTTCACTTCAGGATCTTTCGGGTTTGCGTGACAAGCGATTTTAAACGTCCGGAATTTAAATGCGTTTGGCAACGATCAACGCTCTCTGCGAGAATACGATGACGCGGACCGACGCTCCGCCGAGAGTGTAGAGAAAATAAAAAGAAGAAAAAAACGAAAGGAAAGAATGGTAGCTCGTACCTGCAGCCGCGATGATCTTTGTATACATCTCATCAGGTGGCGATAAAGAATGAGAGCGTTAACGAGAATCTTGTTAATGACACAAATATCTCGCTTTAATACTTTCAATGGGATCGTTTGTCCGTCCTTCACTCATTTATCCGTCCGCCTCATACATGTGTACACACAGTTGCTGTAGTATTTATGAGCGACTTAATTTCTCCAACAGCGAGTGAGAGCGAGTTTGTCCAGCAGCCACGTCTGATCCGAATCTCGTTGTGTCGCATATTTGATATTTCGTGGCACGCTGTACGACGACGTAAAGGTGGATTCACATCGCACAACGGTGCGACGTGATGATCAATGTACGTAGAAGCGAAAAGGATATAGAATAACGAAAACGTACTATTTTAATTATAACAATCTGACTTGTTTGAGTACGTTTATTTTTTATTACGCAACAATACTTGTCAATTAACACGGGAAGAAAATAAGAAGCCGATTTGTGCATTATCATTCTATGTGAATAGATCTTAAATAAAATGCGAATAATGACGGTCGTGTGTGTGTGTGATTTTCCGCGCATGCGTATGAGGAGAAGAAAAAAGCAAACAAATACAAAAAGTGCAGCTAAAAAGAATGGACCACTTCTTTGGCGATACTAACGCTCCCAAGCGGAAGTATGTGTAACCATGCGCATACGCACGTGGATCAACTTCATAACGCTAACGGATCCTTTCCGAGCTGGTCGAACGCTAGCAAACGCAAGTAGAAGTGTGTATAATTTTGTAAATGAATTTTTATATGTAGTACAACTATATTTGACGTTAATGTATTATGATGTGTTAATATGACAGTATTTATTCCTGAAAATATTGCGTATAATATATAATTTATTGGCAATTGTACTTATGTGCATGTGTTATTATAAAAATTGAAAATTGTAAAATCTTGCTACAGTTTTGAATAAAGTAAATACTTGGTAACTTATGTATATGCGTAAGCAACACTTCAAGTTGAAGTGTGAATATTACGAAATTGTACTGATTTATTTTAATTTTTTTAGGTAAGTTTTAAGGTTATGGTGCAAAATGGCAAAAGCTAAGAAGAACTTATCCGAGTTTGCACAGCAAAAACGTGCACAAAAGGATAAAAAGAGGTTGAATCCATTCGAAGTACATATTAACAGAGACAAACAAAATGTACTTGGACAAAAGAACAAGAACGACCGTGGACTTCCAGGCATTTCAAGGACAAAAGCTATCAATAAACGTAAACAGAGTCTTCTTCAGGAGTATAAGATAAAAAATAAAGACAATATCTTCCTAGATAAACGTATAGGTGAGAAAAATTCTGCCATGAGCACTGAAGACAAAGCAATGGCTAGATTCTCCGTAGAACTTATGAAAGTGCATAAGAAGAAAAATATTTATAATTTAAATGATGATGGGGTATTGACCCATAGAGGTCAGACCCTTGAGGAGATTGAGAAATTTGACGACCCTAGGAGCGATGACGAATTTAGCGATGATGAAACTAGCGGCAAGTTGAATAAGGATTTTGTTGACGGAGCACACTTTGGAGGAGGGTTATTATCGAAATCAGACTCTGTTTTATCTAGGAAAGATCTGATCGACCAGCTTATTGCGGAATCAAAGAAACGTAAGGCCGAGAAGCAGAAGATACGGGAACAAACGATAGATCTGACGGAGAAGCTCGACTCCGAGTGGAGAGATCTTATACCTCTCATGTCTTCTTGCAAGAAGTCCAAAGAGGACACAGGTGAAACGACAAAAGCTGACGCTTACGATATAGCTGTGCGAGAATTGCAATTTGAGCCCAGAGGTAATCCATCAGAGAAGTTGAAGTCAGAGGAGCAATTAATTCAAGAAGAAAAAGAGAGATTAGAGACACTTGAGGCAGATAGATTAGCAAGAATGAAGGGGTTTGTGTCTGCGAACGAACATAAGCATAGATCTGCCGATGATCTCGACGACGGCTTTTTGCTAGAAAGTATTGTCGAAGATACTGACAACAATAATGGTGACAATTCAGTAGCCAGTGATAGCAACAACGACAGTAATGGAGAAGACAGTAATACTGATAATGATGAGATTGATGATGATGAAGTTATATTAGAGAGCATTGTCGAAAAGAAAGCAGGAGAAAGTACAAAAGACAGCAGGTGTGGTAAAAGGAATCAAGACAGAACCTGCTTAAAGTCATTTAATGCTGAAGATAAACCTGATATAGAATGGAACAGTAAAAATGCAGCTGACGAAAATACGGACAATGAAGATTGTGAAAATAATTTCTCAGATTTGGAAAAGTCTAAATCGTCTAGTGAAGACGAAGGTGAAGCTGTTGATAAACATGTTATGTTTTCAAGTGATCTTACAAAAGATATTAAACAAACAAAGCAGTCAAATATGGTTTGTCCGAAATCAATATTGAAACAGAATAAAGTAGCTACAGATACACAGCAGGAGATTGGAAATGACTTTAAACGAAAACAAAGTATGGAGAAGGCGCGAGAAGAACTTCCTTACACATACAATATTCCAGAGAACTTTGAGGAGTTGGAAAGGTTGTTAAAAAATCACAATTCCGAATACCAATCCACTATTGTAGATCGTATCATAAAGTGTAATCATTGGACATTAGATGGCAAAAACAAAGAAAAATTGTCAAATCTGTTTGTATATTTATTACAACATATTCATGATTATGCTTCCACGGATGATGATGCTGATGATGTAGTTAGATGTTTTCAAATCTTTGATCGGTAAGAGTAATTTATGTGCACGAAATATGTTACAAATATAGTGTACTAATTATTTCTATAATTTTTATTCCAGATTGTGCCCTTATCTTTACGATCTAGCACATATGAACCCGGAAAATACCACAATTTGCATACAAGAAATAATTAAAGAGAAACATGAAGAATTTCAACGAAAAAAACGGAAATATCCTGACCTGGATACGGTACGTATAAAGGATATTTTTTAATGTTTTCTTTTATCAACGGATATTACATAAGAACGTCTCAAATTTGTGTTTAAGAAAAGTGTAGGAAATGCTGAAATTTTGAGAGATTTAATTATTTATATATATTTATCTGATATAATTATTTATCTTAATGTTATTTAATTATTTATTTATATATAATTATACATATTTATATATAAGTATGTACGAAGATACATGTGTATATGTATACATTTATTTGTTTTAGCTTATATTTTTTAAACTGGTTTCCTTACTGTTTCCAACGTCTGACTTCAGACATCCTGTTGTTACTCCTTGTTTGGTATTTATGTCCCAAATATTGCTCAAAAGTCGTGTTAAAAATCGGACCGATATCTCAAGAGGTCTCTTTATATGTACACTCATCTTGGAGGTAAATATAATTAAATTTTTTATGATTGATCCTTTATGATATGCAATTAGCTAAACGTATGACATGTTTAACTATCTTTGAATGTGTAGTATACAGTATTAAGCAAGAGATTGGCACCATCTGTAATAAATTTTCTACGAGGGATCATATATGCAGCCACACCCGCAGCGTCGACACAAAAAATAAAAGTTATATCGCCTTTTGAAAAAACGTGCAATTGCCTAATAGTTAATAAAAATCTGACTAATATTGAGATCGACCCAAATGGTGCACATATGATGGCAAGTGATTTAATATGCGAAGAACTGGATGATGAATTCAGAATAAGAGCACTAATTACCGCTGTGAATCTAATCAGAGAATTCAAAGATCAACTGCAAGAATTAGAAGCAGCGTACTCGATATTTGAGCCCATTTTTATTTTATTGGAAATAAATAAATTCAAGAAATATCCACAAAATATAAGGAAGCACATAAAGAAACTCTGTAAGGAAATACAAAGTTTGCAAAATAAGAAATTGAGGTATATGGTGATCGAAAGAAAGCCAAAACTTCTCAGACTATATGAGCCAAAGATAATGCCAGTGTATGTATAAAAACCACTTAAATTTCTAACTAAAAAAGTACTAATTTGTAATCTGCCTACTTTACAAAGCAGAATTATCATATAAGTGATTATTTATTAAGTTATTGTAATCACAGTCAATAATACGAGATATTATTTTGAGTAATATCTTTTTACAGATACGATGGTAAACAACATAAACCCATGTCTAAGGAGAAGGCAGAAAGGGAGAAGCTGTTGCACAAATATAAGAAGGAAATGAAGGGTGCCATGCGCGAACTCAGGAGGGATAATGCGTTCTTAGCTAAAGTGAAGATTTCGCAACAAATTAAGGGCGACGCAGAACGCAAGCGCAAAGTGAATGAGATCTCCTCTGAACTAGCGATGCAACAGTGCGAACTGAAAAGGATGAAGAGGAAATCCTGAGCAAACAAAGAAATATACAACTATTGCTCAAATGTGTAAACATCATTCTTTTCTTTAAAGAATTCTCCAGATATAACAGGACATACACCAATTTCTTATTTTTCAAAGCTTCAATTTTTTCACGAAGTTCTTTCGTGTACTCTTTTACGTTTTAATAGATGTTCATTGAATTTATTTATACTTTCAATAATTTAAAAGTGGTATGAGCCAAAATACAGTTCTATGTAAATATCGAATACGCTGTGCTTCTCTAATTCTTGGTTTTTGAATTCTGTGATGAAAACAATGAATAAAGCTTTATTCGGAATTAATTGTCCAATTCTTTATGTATTACATATCACTTGTCCTAGTATTTAGATTAAAAAAAATCGTTACAGATACCATCGTATCTGCAAAAAGATTACACAAAATAATATCACGTATTATTGACTGTGATTACAATAACTTAATAAATAATCACTTATATGATATTTCTGCTCTGTAAAGTATACAGATTACAAATTTGTACTCTTTTAGTTATAAATTTAAATGGTTTTTATACATACACTGGCATTATTTTTGGCTCATACAGTCTGAGAAGTTTTGGCTTTTTTTCGACCACCATATACCTATACTACTACTACTATAATTTCTTATTTTGCAAACTTTGTATTTCCTTACATTGTACTTCTTAACATGACTCTATACATGTTCTGTCTTGATTCCTTTTACTACTCTTGTTGTCTTTTGTACTCTCTCCTTTCTTTTTGGCAGTGCTCTTCAATGTAACTTCCTCATCATTATCAATCTCGTTATCATCACCATTAATCTCGTTAACAAAATCCTTATCTAACTTGACACTAGTCTCGTCGTCGCTAAATTCTTCATCACTACTAAGGTCGTCAAATTTCTTAATCTTCTCATGTGTCTGACCTCTGTGGGTTAATAATTCATTGTCATTTAAATTCAATTAAATATTTTTTCTCTTATGTACTTTCATGAGTTCCATGGCAAATCTAGCCATTGCTTTGTCTTCGGTGTTCATGGTAGAATATGTCTTACCTATATTATATAATATATAATAATTTAAAAATGGTATGTGCCAAAGTACAGTTGTATATAAATATCGAATATGCACTGCTTCTCTAATTCTTTTAATTCTCTAGTGAAATTTAATGGAGCCTGCACATTGTATTAAATGTCACTCGTCCTGATATATTTGTATATTATTTGTACGTTATATATGTATATTATTTAGATAAAAATAAAATTCAGAGGAATACAATTTTGTATTTTCTTTAGTATTTTTTTTTATGAAATAAGAAAGGAATTATGTTTATGTTACATATCAACCAGCGTAATATATACATTATATATGTTATGTGGGCCTGCTTTTCCCAAACAGCAGTACTCACACTTTAATATATAGACTCGCAATCCACTTTTCTGTTAACGCAAATAAAATTGTATTTTTCGCTCTCTACAGTCTACGTATCTCTTACAATAGTTGTCCCCCATTCGTCTCTATATTTCTATCGTGAGACCTTCTCGAGCGGCTATGTTGGCCGGTAATCTAGAACGTCTGTATCGGCAACCTGAACAGTACCGGTAATGAGGCCTACAGTTATGTAAATATAAATAACATAATATATAATATAAAAATTAAAAAATAATTATTTTTAAGTTCCTAATCTCTGGAGCATCAATCTTTTTTCATATATACATCACATCTTTTGTCACTTAAGATTGTAAAACTTCTATGCAAGTTAAAATCGGATATAGAAAAAATACACATCTAGAGTGAAACGAGGCCCGAAAGTGTAAGCTACGTTACGTTCTCCATTGATCGGTAACGCGTCGGTAACATGACAAGTACATGCGTGATTCGTCTTGGCGCTGCTGTCGAGATTGCTCCCAGATCTGATGGAAACAGCGGCCACAGTGAATGTTACGTACCCGCTCGGAATGGGTGTTACCTGATACAGCGTACGAGATACCGATCAGTGCGCTCGAATTCCTGTTTTTTTTTGTAACCGCGTTACTCGCGAGTTGAGGATTCTATTTTTTCTTGATACATCGTACTTTCGCGCAGCCTCACCGGAAATAAGCGATAATGCCGGTCTTTCATACCAAGACTATCGAGAGTATCCTCGAGCCCGTGGCTCAGCAGGTAATGAAAGTGTCAACACGTCATCATTATCTGTCAACTGTCATCATCGAAGCCGAGGAAAAAATCCGTGTTCGTGTCTTCTCCGAGGACGGATTATTTCTTCTGCTTCTTCGCGATTTCAAGGAACGGACCGACTGGTCTCGACCAGGAAATGCGCTCCGCGCCGCATCCGTGCATGGACGTTTGCGAAATATCTGATACGTTCGAGAAATGACGTGTACATATCCTGTTGAACAAACAAAACTCGCTCATCGGCTATATATAAGTGGTTTATCGTCTTATCCGTGACACTTGTACGACATTCACGGGTACTCTCGGCTCGTATTCTTGGCTTTACTTAGCGCTAATTATGTCTATTTAAATCTGCTACTTATTTCCTCTCGTCGTAAAAAGCACACTTAACATCGACGCGCGATAAAAATCACACGGTCACGTTTGGTAAAATAGATGCGGCGAGAATGCGTGTATTTGCCATGAGTCGAATTTACGGAGTAACCCTCTTGTTTTGTCTAGAATGCTTTATATAGAACTATGACATCATACTCCGTATATAGGACAGGGGTTACTAAATCCATCTTTCAGGCATATCCGCGCTTTCTCAGGCGAAATTTAATCCCTTTGGCCATTATGTGCGAGGATGTTCCAGGGCATTATTAGTCCCACGTGTCCAAAAAAGGACATGCTGCTGGTGGCAGACAGTATCACAGCATCCCACACACTCATGTATATTAGAATATTAATGAATCAGCTCTCATTTCATGATCAGATGTATCTTTGATACTTGATTTGCATACAAGGTCCCTGTTTTTGTCAGTATTTGCGAAGATTATTTAAATCTATTTTATTTATACATTTGGTATTTTAAATATAATTTTATATGTACGTATATATATATATATATATATACACACATAAATATTGTTAAGTTTAAAAAATTAAGTTTAAAATTGAATTTAAAAAGTAAAAAAAGTAACAAACTCTCTACTGAGAAATAATTTTATTTTTATTAAAATGATTAAAATAAAATTTAAAAAACATTTCTTAAGTATATTATAATATTGTATGAATTATATCAAACTGAATGAAACAGTTAAGAATATTTAAATTTTAAGTTCAATTGTCAAAGTATAGAATACAGTAATAATAGTAATAACAGAAATTATATGATAAACTAAATACACAATAGGTATAATTTATCTTCTAGGTCTCCAGACTTGTTATCTTACATGAAGAAGCCGAAGATGGAAATGCAATGCCAGATTTGGGACGGCCTGTACAGGCTGTCAGTATGGCTGTGACCAACCTTGTAAAAGTAAGTTTAAGAAACTTGTGTATAAAAAAATAATTTGGTTTCTCAAGTTTATTTTACTCCAGTCTTTTATTCCCATATTTATTGCATTACGTCTTGTTATCATTTTGATCCTTATAGGTCGGAAAGGAAACGATAAACTCGTCTGACGATGCATTGCTTAAACAAGACATGCCAGCGGCACTGCAACGTGTCGAGGGTGCTTCCCGTCTTCTGGAGGAAGCGTCGGCCATGTTGAAACAAGATCCGTACTCTGGTCCTGCCAGGTAAATTTTCGGATTTTTACATAAATTCATTTACAAATTTGTCGTAACGATTTTATGCTGTATCTTCCTAGAAAAAAGCTTATAGAAGGGTCACGTGGTATCTTGCAAGGTACCAGCTCTTTGCTTCTTTGCTTCGACGAGAGCGAGGTGAGGAAGATCATACGAGAATGCAAGCGTGTGCTAGATTACTTGGCTGTTACTGAAGTTATCGAAACGATGGAGGATTTGGTGCACTTCCTTAAGAACTTGAGCCCATGCCTTAGTAAAGTATCGAGGGAAGTAAGCGCTCGTGAGAAGGAGTTGACTCATCAAGTACATAGAGAAATTTTAGTGCGTTGTTTGGAGCAAGTAAGTGTGACAAAATCCCAATGATTATTATGATGTGTTTATATATCACTTGTGACGTCAAATTGTTCTATATATCGCTCGGATGTACAATTTAAAAAAATAATATTTTTTAAATAAGAATATTTTTGGAAATCCTGAATTTTCTTAGGTTTTCCTATGTATTACGATCAAGAAGTGTATTTTGCATCTTGAGACAATTTATTTATCGTATGTAATATATTTTGTAGGTTAAAACACTTGCCCCAATTCTGATCTGCTCCATGAAGATTTTTATCCACATTATCTCACAAGGTGGTAAAGGTGCAGACGAAGCGGCGGAGAATCGTAACTACTTGTCCGGAAGAATGTCTGACGAACTGAACGAAATTATTCGAGTTTTACAATTGACAACGTACGACGAGGAGGAATGGGAAGCCGATCAGTTGACTGTAGGTCGTTTTGCATAGCTTGTATGTAATCATATAGCTTGTTCGGATAGTGGAATTTTATATAATTTTGTTATTGTCAGGTGCTGAAAAAGGCTCAGAGTGCCATAGAATCTCGAATACGAACCGCCTATGATTGGTTGGACGACGGACTGGCTCTGAGAGGGGGAGTGGGAGAGAAGAGTCTTCGTCAAATAATAGAACAGGCGTCACGTTTGTCGGAACGTTATCTGCCTCCGTCGCAAGCGGAACCCATGTCTAAACTGGCCGCTCAAATAGTCACTATGACCGACGCTCTCTGCGAATTGCGTCAAAACGAAAAAGGTGACTTCAAACTCCATAAGATTTACATCACGTTCACGGATACGTTCAGCGAATGCAACAGTCGCGGAGTAACGATTCGAGTAACACAACGATTGGTTTACATATTTCCATGAAGAAAAAGTAATTAAGAGAGTTCGTGCGACTTTTAATATCGTAAATGAAAGATTGATAAAATTTCAGACACTTATTCAAATCTGTAATTGGTCAAATTCAGTATAACGAATAATTTCGAACGTGACTGTTGTACGTCCTGAAAGTAGCAACTGTCCGGGACAACGGACTTGATTCAGCCTAAATAACCGTATGTATATCTATGAAGGCACCACGCCGCAAGCGGAAGTCTTAGCACACAGTATTAAAGAGAAATTAAACGAGCTCCGCGGCTCGGTAGCGTCCGCTTTGGTAGCAGCAGATAAATCGGGAACCGCACAAACGGCACACACAGTAGCGGGTCGTTTAGAGCAAGCGAATAAGTGGCTTCTGAATCCGCAGCACGATGACAAGGGACTCGGTAAAAGGGCTATAGCTTTAATAATTCACGAAGGAAAGAAGGTATGATTTAACGAAGTCCTTTACTCGATCGTTCACGGTCATTGTTAAACTCGACACGCGTGTACACACGATTAGAAGCGCGTCTCTCGCCGACTTTTTTTCTCTTCTACACGGTTTAATTCAAACCAGTAATTTTCACTCTATAATGCTTAATGTCTTCAATGCTGCGCATAGAAAGAATGAGCAACATAGTGAAAATGTGAGTTTGTAAATACTTCTCGTTATTCTTCCAATGTATACTGTTCGTTACCGCAGTGTACCAATGCAAAGAGCCATGCAGAGTGCTTCGGGCGCCGTATATTTTCTCCAACGAGAATTTTCCATATGAGAGAATTTTAGATGAATTTCAAATTGAAATTTTCTACCCGAAGTCAATTCAACAGAATTTTAAAGCTTGTCGAGCTCTTCGAAATTTTGCTGAAAACGCATCGCATTTGTTTCGCCACAGGATATTAATCCACTTAAAGATAATATCACCTGGAGAAAACTCGCGAGATATCTGTTGCGCTCTGTGTATCGATTGTTTTCTCGCCAAGATACCGCGATACTCGCTGGTAAGGTCGTTGTTTGGTGAATAGGTGGCCGACGGTTTGCCGGGCATACACAAGGCGGAGATTCTGCAGTTGTGCGAAAAAGTGAGCAATCTGTCGCACCAGCTGGCCGGTTTCTGCGACCACCGTCTGGGCAATTCCCCGCGCGCTCAGGAGACCGCCCGGCAGCTGTCTCACAAGCTCTACGAGCTGAAGAACAGGATACAGCAGGCCGTGGTGTCCCGTGTCGTTGAAGATTTTATCGACATCACTACACCCCTCAAACAATTCACGGATGCCGTGTTGGCTCCCGCCGGCACACCGGGACGCGATCAGAATTTCAACGACAAAACTTATGCGCTGCAGACGTTCTCTAACAGAGCGGCGAAGACGGCCAGGATGGTCGCGGCTGGCGGTACGTATTTTGCGTGCGACGACGTGCGTCATCGATATTATCTATGTTTTATTACGTCGACGCACAAAATCAGTTGTTTATTCGAGCAATCTGAAAGTTATTGTTGTCGTCACCTCAATCACTTTACTAGAAAGAGCTGTTTTGCGCGTTTACAGGAAGTGGTGGAAACAAGAAGCTAGCCGAGGCGTTGGCCACTAGCGCTTCGCAGGTGGAATCCCTGACACCGCAGCTGGTCAACGCTGGACGTATCCGCATGACTTATCCGGACAGCAAAGCCGCGGACGAGCACTTTGAGAATTTGCGCCAGCAATACGCGGAGACGATGCAACGGGCGCGAGCGTTGTGCGACGAAGCGACCGACAGCGGCGACTTCATCAGGACCTCCGAAGAACAGATGCAGAAACACGCGTTCCTCTGCGAAGAGGCCATAGCCAAGGCTCTGCCGCAGAAGATGGTCGACAATACGGCGTCCATCGCGCGTCTCGCCAATCGAGTCATACTCGTGGCGAAGCAAGAGAGCGACAACAGCGAGGACCCCGCCTTTATACAGCGGGTGAATCATGCTACTGATGTCCTTCAGAACAGTAAGTATATCTCCTTATTTATGTATTAGCTTCCTATTTTTCTTTTTAAACGTCAAAGAACTACAAGCTCCGCACTTTGAATTTCTCTATTTTTTCTTCTGTTTCTTATTTTAGCATTTTATTATTGTTTCTGTTTTCTCGTAATCTTGGTATGTGACTATTGGTATATAAAATGCTTGAAACATAAGCAAAGTTCCGAAATTAGAATTTATAACTCAATTATGTCTACCTTGCTTTTAATCATAATCAAAAATCTGTATTGTGTAATTTGGGGTTCGTGTATATATTCTGCGTATTAAATGTAAACAATTATAACTCCTTACAGTGTGGATTCGTTACTTTGAGTGTTAACAAATATATCTTTCATTAAAAATTTAGTTTTTAATGTTAGATTCTCAAGGTTAACGGTTATATTTAACAGGTGTCGCTCCGATGGTACAAGATGCAAAATTCGTGGCAATGAACATTAATGACAGCAATGCGGTGTCACACTGGAGAGAAAGCAATCGTGCAGTACGTATCTCGTACCAATATGACATTTTCCATATATGTCTACCATAATTTTAAACCTCAGATTATATCCTTTTATATTTTTTTTATATTCTTAGCTCCTGGCTAATGTTGGACAAGTTCGTAAAGCCATTGTAGTCCAGCCCGATCTGGTGCCACCCTTGGAAATGTCACAGTTACACATTAACGACGGTAAGTTTTTAGATCGAATAAGTATAGCACATTTTCCATGCGCGAAGAATCGGTAATAATCCTTCAAGGCGAATTCTTTCTATCGGCTGAAACAAAAACATCTATAGGTGGGTGATTTCTCAATATTGAACAAGTTGCAACCTCGTGTTTTTGAGAGAAATTAGGATTGGGATGGAAGTAGTAATTAATTGTTAAATTTACTGTTCAGTAACTTTTGTAGAGATTCGTTGCATAACTTTGTAGTTTATAGAAATTTGTTAAAATAGGTTGAAATACTTTTATTACGCCACTAACAAACTTTTTTGCTTTTGTATACATATTAAATATGTAGAAACATTAGGTGAAATATTAGGTATAACTGGAAATATTATGGGCAGTGCTTGTATCATAGAAGAACGTTTTTTTTGTTTCATCTATCAAAATCATTTTATTCATATCGATGCTATCATATCAAATCATTATCTTTCTTCACATAATATTTTTTTTTAAATACTATAAATATTAATTTTTAGAGTTGTAAATGTTGGAATAACTAGACAGTGTCAGATAAATTACTCGCATTGGAAACGAAGTATCCAATATTAAAGCGTGTATGTAATATTAATGAAATAAGTATGTCTAATATATCTTTTACAGATGAACAATTCAAACAAATTCCAACCCTACAATATAATTACACCAAAGATAAAGGTATCTCTTTCAGCATGAAGTGATTTATGCATGATTGTTTATCATACAATTTTACAGACGCATTTCGTCTCTAAAAACAACGCGCAAAAGAAATGATAAAGACTGAACATACCTTAAAACATTTAATGAAATTTTATGGAAACATATATGATAAAAACATATATCTTATTATTTTCATTCATGCTCTTATTAGCACAAGTAGATCTCTTTTAGATCGAATTTCATTATTTATCACTGCATATTATTCATGAATGGAAAAGTTATAAAACGTGTCGTCTCATAATTGACAAGATCCATTGTCTCTTGCATTAATATTTGCTCACATTCATTCTTGTCATATGTAAAATGCGGAGTAACAATGATCGAGAAGTTAATTTTATCGACATCAAACTGTAACGTATTAATTATATTTGCTCCCCAATCAGTAGAGAACCCCGATCTTTTGTATCAAGAACTGGCTTCTGACAACGAGTTAGACAAGTCAATTCATGACGGAGGTAACTTGAAACACACACACTTTTGGGCCATAAGTGAACTTTCTGTCTCTGATGCTTCAATTTTTACTTGTCCCTGATACAAAGCATGTCGAAGATTAAATTTTTACTACGTTAAACGTTGAATAGTTGAAACGTTACGTATATGGCCGGTTGCAATGTCATCACATGATATAACATTATTCTTAACATATGTTTACATAAGTATGTTAAAAATCTTGTTTAAATATTTTTTCACAAGTTACATTTTAGTATAAGTTACATTTGTGAATATGAACTTATAGTTTTCATGATTCGGGAAAACCGGTTTTTTTTATTTCTCGCAAAAAAAAATTGAAAGAAAGCCATTTCTCCACGAATTTTTTAGTTTCTTTTCGCATAAAAATAAGAAAATACAATTTTTTTTAAACAATGTATGAATTTGTTGAAGAGAGGAAACTGCATTTTTACCTCCTAATCATGCATATATAGTATTCATGATACATTACATCGATTATTATCATTGTGCAATATTAATGATTAAAAACACTTGATGCGGTAGATTTGAATTTGTTATATTCTTCACGTAATTGATACTTATTATTATCAATATTATAGCATTGAACTGTGGTGATCAAGTGGTGATATATATTTAAAATTATTCACACATAACTCATAGCGTTAATTGCCGATTAATACATATTTATTTGCGAGTCTAAGCAGCATGGTGCTAACACAACGCTTAGTTACACGCATGCAGGAGCATTTATGCTACATGTTACATCTGATTTTATTTTAACATCATATGTTTCTGTCTTTCAATGCTACGTGGATTACCAGTTTATTACGATTACAATATCGACGACGGTAATTACTTCAATGTATCTTATACGTAACTTACGTCGCTACGATTGTACCACGCATTCGATTTGATTTTGGAAAGTCATTTACTGTAATATTTATTTGTATTAATGCTATATTCGCGTGTTTATTATGTATAGAAGTGGCACCTCCTCGACCACCTCTACCAGGAGGCGACGTCCCGCCGCCGAGACCTCCTCCTCCCGAGACGGACGACGAAGACGAGATGTTTATGCATGCTCCTCAACCTAATCAACCGATAATGGTGAGAGAACGTCTTGTTATTATACTATTATTGCATTATTATTGTTTAATCCTTAACTCACTCTGAAAGATAAGTTAAATTCTATCTCAGGCTTCTCATTATGAAATATATATCTTCTACCACAGCTGTCTGTGATTGATGTTATTAATAACGATTATTAAATATAAGCGTAAAACAGAGTTAAACAGAAGAGCTACATGTGGGATTTACTGTACAGATGGCTGCCCACGGTCTGCATCAAGAAGTGCGGCAATGGTCGAGCAAGGACAACGAAATCATTGCCGCAGCGAAGAAAATGGCCATACTAATGGGCAGATTATCAGGGCTTGTTAGGGGCGAGGGCGGCAATAAACGAGACCTTATCGCATGCGCAAAGGCCATCGCCGAAGCTTCTCAGGAAGTCACCCGTCTGGCGAAGGAGCTCGCCAGAGAATGTACCGATAAACGTATTCGAACGGTTCGTCTCGTCTTTCCACCTCTAGAATTCTACGATGACGTGATGTAATCCTCGTCCTAACTGATGCGTTTCCTTGCAGAATCTGCTCCAAGTTTGCGAGCGTATACCTACTATCGGTACGCAGCTGAAGATACTATCTACCGTGAAAGCCACCATGCTCGGAGCACAAGGTACAGTTTCTTTTCGACGTTTCTGTCTCAGTTTACGTATCGATCATACTCGGTGATGATCAACTCGCGACCGCCAGGCTGATTAAGAGATATTTACTAGTGATCTCTAGGATGATATAATCTCTCTCTCTCTCTCTGCGAAACATTGCGCTTAACGGAAATGTGACGACTACTATTATTAATGAAGAAATTAAATTCTTTGTGTATATAGAGACACTCCCGACCTGGGAAGAGCTGATGCTTTATGGTAAAGAAGTTGCAGACTTCTGTGCTTGATGTTACCTTTTCTTTCTCTCTTTCTTTCTCTCTTAATGGCGTTTATTTTATTCCTTTAAAGATTCGGTGCCAATTGATTTTCTGACATTGGCGCGTTACACTTACTGCATTGAAATGCATGCAACCCTTACTTTTCCCCTCGAGAGGAAATACAAGAAGGTGAAACACTGAAGTCCAGACGTATGAGTAGAGACGCGAAGTACAGACGTTATGAAACGCGAAATAATAATAGATGCGGGCAGTAATTTATGTAACAGCGTAATTTATCGATTTTGCTATTTCTTAGTGAGAAATAGACTAACATGATTTTCGTATTTTATTTAAACTTTAAATGGCATGCCCTTGGTATGCATCTGCTCGTCGTGGTGTAGATGAATTGATTGGCTGCAGTAAGTGAAATATTAAATTCATAACTGATTTTTAGATAGCAGATCCATTTGACATAACGATATATATTCATACTTCCTATCTGTCGAATATGTATCATTTGTATATTTCACATATATCTATCATTTATTTCCTCATTGCCGACTGCCGTGTTGCAATTTGTAATTTGTACATATGTATATTGTGGTTAGCAGGCGTCCGAATTCTCTTTCTTTCGAACGATCCATATCGGTTTTCACGAGAGTTTTCTTTACACAAATGTCAGTTTCATCTCCTGTTCTGAGATATATATTTTCATTTTCATCCATGCATGCGTTTTGCATAATTACTAGGACTCCGATCTAAAGTTCCACCATGCAACTTTGATTTGAATCTGTGTTATATTCTTAATAATCTTGAATACGTGAGCCCTAGTAATTATGGGATCATTTTCTTTGAAGTGTAAGTTTACGTATACATTAAACACATTCACGACACTTATATGCACTTGGTTCCCCGATTCTAGCAGTAATAAGTAGACGTATGTTGCATGTGAGCCACACGCATCACGTTTCGATGTAGAGTACATTTATCATCTCGACACGTGCGAAGAAGTATTCGTATTAGGTGAAATTATGATAGAAAGATTTTTCTATCATCACGGAATACATATATGAAATAGTTTAGGATAAAATTATATTTGTATAATCGTTCCAATCTCTTCCATTTAAGGCTCCTCACTTTGACTATCCTTGTCTGATGACGTCAGAAGCGAGAAATCGCATGTCAAAATATGTTACGGTATACGTGGAAATAAAAGAATATTTGCATAAAACGACATTCGTGATAAATTCAGCATGTCCGGATGTTTTTTTCAACCTAAACAATCAATAATAAATAGCCGAAAATTAGTGTAACATACAACTTACGTTTTTAACTTATCTTTTCTCATGATTTCTGTTTTGTTAATTTTACGGCTATTTATTGATTGTTCAGGTTAACGGAAAGCGTCCGGACATTTTTATAAATATGCTGAATCTATCACGAGTGCTATTTTACGAACCATATTACAAATATAATTTTATAAAATACAACGATTAAAGCTTTTTTAGAAATAAAACACATGTAAACATGGATGTGCCAAAGAATTGTCTCTTCGACTGTATTTAACGATCGCTTTCTTTATATTGTACACGTATAGGTACGGAGGAAGATCAGGAAGCGACGGATATGCTCGTCGGGAATGCTCAGAATCTCATGCAGAGTGTGAAGGAAACTGTGCGTGCCGCGGAATGCGCCAGCATAAAGATTCGTACTGCCTCCGGTATGAAGCTGCGCTGGGTGCGTCGTCAGCCTTGGTATCAATATTAGATTCCAATGTGAGGCACGTCTACAATCTTCAAATTGAGGAGAACATACAAGATTTCGATTGGTGTTCATATGTATTAGCAGCAATTTGTCCACGGCATATGAGAAAGAAAAAATCGCTAACATACAATATATTTCTATATAAATTTCAAGTATACACACTAATTGTGTAGGGTATCACGCTTCAGAGAAATTTACGGACTGACTTCTATTGTATTTGTTTCAACCATAAATTATTAATTCATTTTTTTTTTATGTTTGTTTTTTTAAAGAAAGCAATACTAATAGTCATATATACATTAAAACGCACAATTATTAGAAGCTAGACAAACAGTAATAACAGATGTTTATTCATATTTTATGTTGTTTATTATGATTTTTATAGCATTCTATTAATTTTACTTTGTTTAATGAAATAACCATGCATAATTAAATAAGCTAATCATGAGTACTACGTTATAGCTTGGGAATTAATTTTTGATCTCTTAGTTCAATATTTCTGGAAAGAATGAAAAGCCTTATTTATATATCCAATATATCTCATAATACGCTAAAAATGATAGTACTTTAATATAAGCTTTAATATAAGTAATATATATTATGTTGGCAACATAATAGTAATATATAACGGTGATTATATATATATATACACACACACACACACACACACGGACAAACATCGTATATTATATAATGCGTTATCTGCAACGAGTCGAACCACATGTCGGTTAAGCTGGCAGANTGATAAAAAATTAAACACAATAGAATTCGTAAGATATATAAATATTTATATCTATGTAAGTAAAATATTTCTATCTTTGTTACATAGAATATTATCACACGGGACGAAAATGTTATATTTTTACAAATTAATCACGAGTGTAATCATACACTTAAGATTGCTATGCTAGTATATTAAACTACTATGTATAGCGGCGTTATCTAGATTCACAATCTAAATCATTTCTAACATTTGAATATAAAAAGTATAGAAAAATGTGAATCTACACAAAAAAATAACAAAATAATAAAATACTGGATCGACGAAATATAAAGATTTTATCTGACTATTGCCAAACCAAATGCTTACATTTTCGAGATTGCTAGATGTTTCAGATGACGAAGTTAGACATCTACCGCTATGCATATGGTATTAATATATTAGAAAAATATATTTTTATAGGTTTTATGAGGTTGTAGTAGCATCAATTTCGGCATTGACTTTGCGTTCCCGTATTATTTTCGAAATGGTGCTAATGTGTGCAATATTGACCTAAGCAATGTTGCTATGTATAATAATGGAAAGTGCTAACCATATAGCGATAACAATTTTTTAACATGTATTCTGCACACACATACACAGTGTAGATCAAGTCGAAACATTTTAAATACGGAATGTTACATATTAATTCTCAACAACAGATAATGACAAATGTATTTCAGAATACTTTTATGTAATCATATTTATAATAAAAATAACTTTTATTGCATAACGTCGAGTTATTATTCTTAATTACTACTTAAGACACTATAAAATACCTGTACAATACGTCAGAAATTATTATTTAATATTATTACATCACAGAACTTAAGAATCGAAGGGCTCTCTTTTGATAGAATTTTGTCCAGGTATTGTCGTACCTGGTATTTTATTCTTAGGAATCTTTCCTGGCCTTAAGTACGGATTATCTATAATATCTTGCTGAGTAGTAGTCTCACCATTTTGTTCATTCTCATTTTGTGCTTGATTACCTGTAAACAATAATTTGCAATGACAATCGATACAACAATTTGTATCATATTAGATCAACTAGGCAATATACATCTATATGTTAAATTTGTCTCCATACATATGTACAGAAGGCCTCACCTTCTTTGGTTTCTTCGCTTTGTTGCTCTTTCTTTTTCTTCACCGGGCTTGGTTCAAAATGAAAGTCTGTATCTGGCTCAAATATTTGATCTTGTGGTAGAAGAGCAGAAATATAATTGGGGGATTGCGACTTACAAGATATTACTGAAAGCAAAGAAAATGCATGTTCTTAAGATACTAACTTCATTTAATCAACAGATTAATATGAATAAATAACAGATTGTTTACAGGGGAACATGCTATTGTCTTCTGTGAGGAATAAACTGTGTGTCTCCCCTGTCTTAGCTATAAACCTTGTTAAAGCTCTTTCGATATCTCGTTTCTGTGTTGCTGCCTTTTCCCTTATTGCTTCGTATTCTGTCACAGGTTGCTTATGTGTCTACAATATATATATCTACTGTTAAATTAAATCAGCACATACTATATTATTCAATATCTTACTCGATCATATAATCAGTATACAAATATAAATATAAGACAAAAATAAATTCAATGCTTACTGGTGTTCTTATATATGCATGTGGATCAGGAAAAGTTGGTAAATGATTTGGTATGTGTGATGGGTGGCTTTGCTTGATACCAGCTTGCAAGATATTCAGTTGTTTTGATTGTGTCTGTTGCTGAAGCGCTGGCAAAACTGTCCTATTCTGTCTCTTTGCATAAGTCTCCAAGTTATCTAATTTTAAACCCATATTGATTAACGCCAATATCACATCCGCTATAAGAGGCTCAGTTCGTCCAGCCAGTTCGCAGTAATTTCTCGCGGAAGCTCCGACCTCCACAAGAACTATAAACGAAAGTTTGCGGCGTTTCATTCAAGTTAGGTAGTTTAAGTCAGGTTAGGTTAGATATAATTATAAGTTTAAATGTGAATTTTACATGACTGTAACATTTCCGTAAATGTCTCCACTACATCCTTCTCACACGCGTCAAAACCGCTCTCTACTAAAATACTGCAAACCACATGACTCAATATTTTTCGTCGTGTATTGACTGTTTGTACATCCATGTTGATATGATGAACTGTCGTATAGCTCTTCAAAGAAACAAAGATTTCCTTTTACTTTCTCCAGTAAATATTTGCTTCTTTGAGAACACCAAGTCTTCGTTATCTTCTTATGTCTCTTCTTCCTTTATCTTTTTTTATATTCATTTCAGGAAAAGTGTAGGTCCTGTTTACTCTTTTAGATGCACCACTCTCTATTTTTCCTTTTTTCTCTGGTAAAGATATATGGTAAAGATTCCTTTCTAGCAAGGAACACGGGACCGTTCCATTGGCTACATACATTTTAGATAGCGCGTGAAACGATCCTTGTGTTGGAAAGCAGTCCAAGGCTACGGTCCATTTCATATTGCAAACGCTTTGAAGCGCCAATCATGTTCTTCCTTTACGCGCTTCGAAGCATTTGCATTGCGAAACGGACTCTAGCTCAAATACATCTTTTTCATTTTTAGTACAGAAAGTGCAACACAGTACAAGTAGGAACAACATGGCCGATTCCGTGGTGGATCAGGCGGACCTTTGTTTTGAATCGATATAATTACCCAAGATGAATCGAAAAGACTTTTACTTTTCGATGGTGCGATCGAGACTAGGTAGTGATAGCTCTAGATGAGCTCGATCAATTTCAATAAGAACCATGTTCATCGTTTAAGTCAAAATGTCAATGTTGTATTGTAGAAATGGAGCTTCGAGTAAATCGTTGTTAAAATCAGCATGTGCAAGTAAATATCTCCATATTATTTCTACGTTTGCTTATTTTCATCTTGCTTTTTATGAAATAATATAATCTATATAAAATTGTGTCTTATAGGTTATTTTCTCCATTTAAATGCTCAGCATACAATGTAATATAATCGAATGTTTATATATTTATATTGTGAGCTGTGATATGGATGCAGACATATTAAGGACAATATTGAGGAGCTTCGGTGATGCAAAGAATATTACCGAGTCTGAGGATTACAAAAACATATCGAGGGAAGTTGTACTTCAGTCCGATGTGGTATCTGACACTTTATGTGCATCATTGAGCAATCTTCTGTGTTACAAAGTATCCAAACAGGTCTATCAACGTTATTCGATACGGCTGTTGATAATTGTACGTTAATTCCTTGCATCAATACACACATTGGTATATTTCCTTTCTCAATAGATCTGTATCTCAATATGATTGGTATTTCAGGACATTGTGCGGAAATGGTGCAGAGCTACGAGCAATTTTGATCATTTGCAGATCTTTACGTCTGAAAGGAATGGCATGAAATATGTGACTACTCTTTTGAACAAGTATCTTACGGACGACGTTCTGAGTAACTGTTGCTCGGACGACGCCCTGGTGTCATTGACCAGCGCTGTGATGCATCTGTCAACGGGAGATCCGTCATTTGCGCGTCACTTGGACAGATTACTCGTGAGACTCTCGCGATTCGAGACGAACGATAAAATCGAGAGGCTGCTGCGCAATGCTCTGAGCACAGATCTGCGCCTGAAATTGTCCACAAAGGAGGAGATATATCTAGCGAAGAGATCGAACCTGATAGAAGGACCTTTGCTCGACGGTTTCACGCGTATGTTCTCCGACGCGAGTGAAGGGGATCGCGCGGAGAAACGGCAGCATGACGAGGAAACGCTGAATCGTTTGTTAGCACTTAGCGCCGAATCCACTCGTGTCTTCCAGATGACGTTTAGCTTCTTGAAGGAGCTGCTGATTCGGCTGCGGTACGCTCCCGCGGTCACAGACTTCACAGGCTCGTTATTGAGTCGGGTGGCCGCTCATTGTGAGCAACAGGACAAGGACATGGTGGACTTGTATCCCAGCAGACTGCGTTCCTGCGTGATTCTGTTGAGGATCAAGCCCGAGCATCACACCGCGCGGAGCAAGGAATACACGTTGCAGACCGTGAAGCGAATTCATCATGAGAGCAAGGACGCTGCATTAATTCTGATGTCTCACTTCCCCGAGTGGCTGGAACTCCTCTCGACTTATGTCGCGAACGACGCGCTCAGTTGACCACCGTGGAGAGTAACCATCGCGTCCTTTCATCGTTGTTCAGTATTCCCGATTGTTGTATGATATGTATATACCGCGAAGCGCTTATACATCTTTATTTATATATAAATATTTTGAGAGAAGAGAATTTTATATGTTCTTCAATAAGAAACGCACGACACAGTGTCCGTGTTACAGGCAGATTTTTATTCGTTCGGGCCACAAAGCGCACGCCGAGGAAAAGAACGAACGAAAGCGCGTATCCTCAACACCGTATTTTATACGCTCGCACGTTTATAATAAAAAAAAAGAAAACATGACAAACAAACAATATATCGCAACATTCGGGCGCTTCGGAAAAGAAAGAAAAATAACGTCTTTCCGTCCGCACGCACGGCGCGGGAAAATGTGCAAAACGAAAAGACAGAAAGCGAGTTTCCCGGCGTAAACGATTCGACAGAACCGGCGTGAACTCTCGACATGAACCGTCCCAACGATCGTGTATGCGTTTCACTTAAATTAAGACAAACGCCCGCCATATAAAGTAAAATTCCAATCCGAACAATCTCGCGCAACGCAAGGGCAAAACGAGTTCATCAACGAATCTGTAACCGGAGAATTGATTAATCACACCATAAGATTTAGGGCTTATTGTTCTTCGCAAGACTCCATTGCCTCCGGCATCGCGCTGTTGTTGTCGGTCACAGCGGAGCAGGACAAGGATACGGCGTCGGTGGTGGCAGGGGCGGAATTGGATTTGACAGGATCGACGGGGGATAGTTTCGCCTGGCGCGGCAAGGACCTCCGTCTTTTCGGGAACTCGTACTGCTGCTGCTGACCGCTCTGACGTTTCTCCGTCTTGCCGTTGATGGACTTCGGCTGCGTTGCGACCTGTTGAAGCCCAATCGCGTCAGAGTGCGGATTATGTAATATATCGCTGAGAAACGATTTCAACGGGAAATCGGCGCTGAGCTAATCGCGACGTAGCACGTAATCGTTTTGCTCATTGCATCGCGACGTTCTTTAAACAAATTTACAAACAATTCGAGTAATAAATACACGAGGAAAAAATTGGTACCAATTCGAGACTCGTATTCTCATATACGAAGTGAAGTAATAATCGTTACCACCTTGAATATCTTCGAAAGTATTAGTAAGAGAACAAATTTATCTAATAGAAATTACATGGTACTGAAACCATTGTTTTATGGTGGTAACGTTTCTTTTCCTAACTGTAGTAACTTCAAAGATCTGAAGGCCACCTTTGTTTTCTCTAAACGAATCAATTTTTTGTAACGTAAAACCGATTCCTTGGTTCATTCTTCATGTAAAAGTATTGAGATAAGATCATTGAAAAGTGAATATTTTCCGAGATATTTTACTTTTCGCCTTGATACTTTTCAATGCAAAATATGAAATATCTCATAAAGTATTTAATTCTCCATAACATCGCCTTAATACTTTCATACATAATATGAGAAATCGATTACTGATATAAATCATTATTGGTGCATCGATACAAGATACAACGATTTTTTTTTCTAGTTTCGAAGATATTCAAGGTGGTAATGGTTGTTACCTCACTCTGTATAAGAGCAAGTTTTATCTTCATTTGAGATTATTCTTGCTTACATGTATATAAGAATCTGAGTCTTGAATTGATATGAAATTTTTTTTTACGTAGAAGGCTGAAGAAAAGACGAGCGAAAGCGAGAAGAGAGATTGCATTGGAAGCAAGTTGAGATAGAATGCGCAAAGAGCCGGAAAATCGCGCGGAAACTGTAAATTGCGTGTAGAAAAAGAATCGAGAAAGTAATCGGAAAAAGAAATGCGGTTCACAATTCACGAGCTATCGCACGGAGCTTCGAGATCCGGGCGAGGTCGTGGTTCGAAGTCCGGACCGTGGGTCATCATGAACAACCCGGTTGATGTAACTCTTTTGATTTAATCGTTCTGTCAAAGATCTCCAATTTAGCTTGTCGTAACAAAAGTAGACGAAATTCTCACGCAGTCCGCTATTTGCCGTTACACATTGCGTGCGAAGCGTCGCCCGCGGCTTAGAGCGCAACATTGGTACATCATCGTGTTCTCGTGCTTCTCTCTCATGACGAAAGGACGACGTTCTTGCCTCCCTTTCCGACGTCCTTTCGCGATTACACGGCCGTCGCAGGGCCGCGCGACTCGAAACAACTTATTTTTATGCGCCGTAATTTAAGAAAGGGGTCGGGGATGGGTGCCGAAGAGCTTTCTATCTGTCTGTCTGTCTCTCTCTCTTTCTCTCTCTCTCTCTCTCTCTCCTCTCCCCCTCTGCGCTTTCTGTACACACTTCCAGTCGATTTCTAACAAGGGGTGGTGGATGGTATTACTTTGGAGGGTGTCGGGACAGGTGGATTCTCCCTCTCACTCGCTTCTGCGTTCGATGAGAGTGTCCGGGTGAAAGTATAGACCAGTAGAAATGTTATAAAATGAAATGCTCTGTTACCTTGTAAAACGTGTTACATTTAACATCGAGGCGTTGAGAATCTTGATTTCCGTATCTTTTTTTTTCTTCCTTTTTTTCGTTTCGAACGTGTGAGCCGTAATAGTATAGTTGTGTCTAGCTTCTTTTTTTTTGTTTTTCATCGTAGTTTTTCTTCTCTTCCTTCGGTTCTTCATGTCGAACACGCAAATGTCGAATAGACGAACAGCGATTTCCTCTCCTGCGCGACTGTTAACGTTGTTGCTACCGTTTCGTATTTCTTGTGTTGTCTTTTTCTTTTTTTTTTTGGTTGGTTTTCTCTTTGTTCTTTCTCCCGCTTCGGCTTTACCTCCTATGTCGTGTGTGTGTCTGCCTTTTAAGCGCCTTTTTGTCAACCATTACAACAATACATATATACACGATCACACGCGGTATACGCACGGGGGGGNGTAAAAATGGCTTGCCTTTTTAATTAAACTACGGTTTATCTTTGCAGCACGGGCGAAAGGTCGTGGCTGGGCTCCAAAGGCGTGCGCGTTCGTCGCATTTTTTTTATCGCGCGCGGACGTTTCTTGTCGCGCGATACGAGACACTTCGCGTCAAGAAGACCGAAATCCCGCGGATCTCCCGGCCTCGCCTCTCTCGGAGGAGCAGTCTCCGAATCCACGCGAGTCCTCGAATCCACGGATCACTCGGGAAACACTCGAACGGAGAAGAACCTCGGGTCCTCGAGTTCGCGCATCTCGGGATCCGGCGGGATCTGGAATCCCAAAATTCGTGGTCTCGCACGGAGGAAGAAACATCGGTTGCATTAACGTGGACGAACCAAACGTGTTTTGATCAGAGAAAGCAGAATCTCTATGGTTGATACAACAGAATTTTGTTCATAAGAGTCAGAAATTCTGTTTCTCTCAATCAAAATGCGTTTGGTTCATTTATGATCACGTTAGTTCAATCAATTTTTCTTTTCCGTGCGTTATGTGTCGAGTTTCGAGACGCTCATGATACGAGACCCGCGTTTTCGCGAGTTTTCGAATCCTCCAGTCTCGGAATGCATCCTTGGCAGATATCCGCGAATTCCAGGACCCTCAAATCCACGGTGTCCTTTGGCTGGTATTCATAGTCGTATCTTATATTTAAGACCGTTTTAACACTAAAACTACTGACGATTAACATGCACCTTTCTACCGGAGTAGATTATAGGACCGGAGCAAATAAGATTTTTGAAAAAAAATACGCAATGCGAAGGAAAAAATATTTATTCTTTTACACATTGCGGCTTAAAAATTACGGTTAATCTCAGAGAATGTATCATTAAAAATTGGAGTAACTTTTATAAGAAAAAATTACAAACCGGTCATTTGACCGGCTTTGGTAGTTTTGTAGCCAATGAAATAAGCCGTACGGAATCTAAAGGTGAACTTTTAAGACGGTCTTGACTATAAGATCTAACTATGGATACCGACCTTTAAGACTTCGAGAAGTCCTACGATCCTACGATCCGTGGATCTCGAGGCCTTGCGAATTCCGAGACGCTCGGCGATCTCTGTCGACAGAGAGAGAGAGAGAGAGAGAGAGAGAGAGAGAGAAAGAGAGAGATGGGACACTGGAATCTCCGATCTCATCCGGGACCCTGCGATCCTTCGATCGACGGAAAGGAGCTTCGGTTTCTCGGACGTTGGGTTCTGGGAGGAATTCTCGGGTCTTCTCGGGACGTCTTTAGGATGCGCTAAGGCTAACATTCCTCGTGCTTATCCCCGGTTTATCATGCCAGTGGACCGATCTTTCGCCTCGACTCCGGGCGGGTTGCTCTCTCTCTCCCTCTCTCTCTCTCTCTCTCTCTCTCTCTTGCATTCTTTAATAATTAATAATATTGAAATGTTACAAACTATGTGGCGGAAAGAACGTTTATCCGAAGAAACAATAGATACGAATTTGCGCCCGACGAAGTCATCCTCCATTGCCTTGCAACATTTCGCGAGAGAACTCGGCTCGACAAGTACTTATATAACAATTAATATTATGCTGATATATCGATTCTCGCGAGAGATGAGAGTAACGTTCAAGAGTTTTCTTGCGCACTGTCGAACGTCTCTTCAAGTGTCGCAAAGTCACGGCGCGCCGTCAGACGACGCCCGTCCGCCATCGAGGACGATGCACCGCGAATGCCATGCTACGTCGCGAATTCACGTCGAGGTGACTCTCGCTCGGTGAACCGAAAGCTCTGTCGCCGGACCGCAAGATATTTACATGAAAATTTCACTACAACCGCGATTAGAGGAGGGTATCTCGCGCGACGTCACAGCGGTATAAATTCGGCGGTATTCTTTGACGTGCACATTCATTCACTCACTCACTCACTCACTCACTCACTCACTCACTCACTCACTCACTCACACACACACACACACACACATACACATCGCTACAATGGATTCTTAATTACAATCAGGCGCTATACACGGTGCGAGAGAAAAAAGGATACCTGCGCTGTGCGCTGGGAGGATGAAAAACGTTGATAATTGCAACAGACTGTTATCTTTAATAAATCAAACGACATACAAAGGCCAATCGCAAGTAAATCTCACTTATTTTCTGCAACAATAAACTCTGATTTTTTTGTTTTCGTTACGCTACTGATGATATAATGTGATAACTCAGGGTCAGAGCGCGCGTGATTCTCACGACGATTACCTCGCGCAGCGATTTAAACATGTTCGGCAGCGCATCGTCCTCGCGATCGGTGTGTTTTTTATTTATTTATTTCATTCTTTTTTTTTCTCTTATATCTCTCATTTTCATTTCCCTCGCTTTACAAAAAAGAGAGTAGCTCGCTCGTCTCGATTGTCGAGCGTATACACGCACACAAATTATAGCATTCACGCACGCATGCACACACGCGAGAGCGCGCCAGGAGGAGGAAAAAGAAAACGCACCGCGCCGCGAAGGTGACGATTTATATATATATATATAAACGATTTATATATATATATAT